AGCCCGTTGTTCTCCTCATGGATAACTGTGGTTCTCACGGCAAAGATGTCGTGGACCACACAGGACAGATACAAATTATAACATTTCCTCCTAACTGCACTGCTGTTCACCAGCCTATGGACTTAGGAATAATTGCGTTATGGAAGAGCGAGTATAGGCATTGCATGCTGAGGAAAATCGTTATGGATATAGAGCATCGTTCTGAGAGGCGAGAGATCAGTAGGGCGAAAAAGAGGGGCACGAGAGGTATTGGGGAAGGGTATGACCCCCACATGCTCGATGTCGCGGAGATGGTGTTTGACACGTGGAGGGAGGTTACACAGCAAACGATAGTTCGGTGTTGGAATAAAGCGGACATATTCCCGAGGGAAATGCAGGCCAGTTTGGCTGCGACACGCGGGAAAATGCGCAATAGTCAGTTGACAATTGAAAAACGCGTGCTGGATGACATAATGTCAATGATGAGATGTCTATCCATAAATATTTGTGAAACGGATCCGTTAGAGTTATACAGGGACGAGGGATTGATCTGTGGCGCAGTTGAGGAGTGGATTAAGGTGGAGACACAGAGTACTATCCGTGAGGGAATTTTGAATGATGCCATGGATGATGCAGTCGAGCTGGATGGCACCCTTTACAATAACGAATCCGACTGCGCCGATGATGATGTCGAATCAAATGACCGGAGGATGTTTTTACCCGTCCCAAATTCGTTGAAACTATCAGACATGTTTATCAACTTAGAATCCCTAGCGTACGAGTGTGATGTATCGGAAGCGGCTATGCACTTGAGGAAAGCCAAACAGGCTTTCATCTCTGCCCGGGCTCATGCTAAGAAACATGATACAAGACAAGCGGTCAGATGACTTCTTTAAGATGCAAATATGTTACGGTTGGGCAGTGTTAATGGATTGTGTGTTGTTCCCAAATATATGTATATGAGCCTGCTTTATATAGTGCCATCCCCCGAATAGTGCCATAGCTAGAGGTCTGTCACGCTATAGCACTATATCGTAGGAGGCACTGTGGTATGGTGGTTGACGTATGATGGCCAGATACATTCTCAAGAGCAGACTGTATCACTACCATTTCCTTTGTGTGCGCATCCCACGCAAAGTCCTAGCAGAGCAGAAGTTGGTTTATTAGGGGACGTGTAAATCCTCACTGCGGCTATTTCAGATGTATTTGAAATGCAGGATTTCAAACGTCCATGCTCAACGACATCGCATCTTGACCCGGTATTGTACAGATCATAAAGTTACAGTATTGCCATGTCGTTGCTAACTATACTTCCATCCTGTTCGCCTCAGCGAACAAGATGGAAGTATAGTTAGCTGAGGCGAACAACCTTCTCTGCATCTCAACCCAGTCTTATGATTCTTCATGCGACGAAAGTTCTACGTGCCCTGTTCCCTTCCAGGAAGGAAGGCCTGTGACTTGCGCACATTTGACGGAATCGCAAAGTCAGAAATGCATTATTCCTCGTGTGTTTCTACTGCACGATACTACAGTACTTTTAGCGTTTACGTTATATGAGTATTTTGCGAGTGCAAAACGGTTACTCTTACAGATTTCTTTCGGAAATCTTCTAGCGTCTACGAGACATGTGGCCTCATGGTCTATGCAGCCACTTTTCCACGTTATTTACAACACCATAGTGTTGTACCATAGCCCTAAGCCTCCAAAACGAACTTGCACTCTGGGAACTGTCCATTGCGTTTTTATCTGCAACCGCACGGCGCAGAACGGTAAGATAATGCCAGACTAAGGGTCTGGCACTACCTGACTGTTCTGCGTCTTCCTGAAGCCCTTTTGTACGGTTGAGTTTGAAATTCCGCTACGCAAGAAGGATGGTGTTTCTATAACGAGGTTCAAGGCCGACAAGCGGCAGGAGCGGTCAAGTCGAAAAGCACAGACACATGTGAGGCGTTTTGTCTAGAATACAGCAGGACTTTTCCTTCACATTCGTGCCATGTCGTATGTGGGAAAATGCCTGTCTTCTGGACACAGAATACCACAGGGAATGCAATTCCGAGAAGTCCACAAAGTCTTTCCACTCCAGCACAATGCCTTACCGTGGGAGAGACTACCGACACATGCTGTTGTAGCATACTGTACATCTAGGGTACTGTACTGAAAAGAGATGACTCAGCAAGTGCAGTGCGTTTCATCTTCATTCCTACTGCAGTGCACAATGCCATCCTGTTTGCCATCATAAAATTGTTAAAAAAAGGGCAGTAGTCGAGCACCTCGGAACCCCCTTGAGAAACCATCCTATACTGTGCTGCATGAAACTTCTCAGCCAGCCAGATGTCTCCGTATAATGTCCACGCAATCCTTAGAGAGGCCTCACTCATGTAGCATGCAAGACTGTTAGTGGGGTTATGAGACTTGCTTATCCGGCTTTAAGGACACCTAGCACCCTAAAAAAGATACTTCATCCTTGCTGGAGGCGTAAAATCCGTTTTTGCTTTATTTCAGTCAACGAAGAGCTTCGCTGTGTTTGTAAGCGTCAGAACGGGATTCTTACTGGACCGTAGACCAATCCCATTCAAAGGGTATCGCAGAGTAGGGTACACCATCTCCGGTAAGATAAAGCGATTTTGTGGGTATGCATGATCATTGTGCGTTGGTGTGAATGCAAGCAATCCCTAACATGGGATTGGCCCCTCTCCCCCAAGCATCTAATTGTCCAAGCTCCTCCGCTCCCCCGAAACTACTGTACATACTATATAAGCGTTCAAATCATGTCCTGTTCGTTTCAGTCCGCATCCCAAACCCTAAAAACGGAGTACCGTACAGTGAATTCGACCTGTAAAAAACGAGCGAAAAGCTATGCCCGCCGGTATTGTTTCTGCACGCGTTCTGGTTTCCACGGCAGGTGTCATCATTATCCACGGTTTCAGTCTGCAGTAGCCTTGCGAGAAATGCTTTGAAAGCGAAACACCTCGAGGAGTTCGAAAATTCTTCTTTCGTACAGACTTCATCGCAAATGAGGCTGAAGTTTTGGCCAGATTGCACTCTTCTGTCTAAGCCTAAGAAAAGAAAAGTGATCTGTTGCACTGTACACCGTGACGATTCAACCATGGCATGTCAACTTTTCAGCGGGTCGCACTTATTATTTGAGATTGACGCTTGCTCAGCGTTATGACTCAGAACTCGTCTGCATAAGTTTGCCGCAACGCAAGCCAGTCGTCAGGAGTGCTTTCGCAAGCAGAGGGTTGGTTCCCTGGCACTGTCGATATCCCCCCATGTCGGCAGTCGGCTGTAAACAAGAAAAAAGAAACCCACTGGATCATTCTGTTGCAGCAGTGCGTAGCTCCGTATTGCGATCTGAATAATTATTCACCAACTTTGCTTTGTTGGAAGATTTTTGTGCTTCCAATATCTTGCCTGGCGCCAAGACAAAGATATTTACCTTCCCATTAGGGTACAGTACCCTAGTACCCTTGGGTACTGTGTTAGGGCAAGACACACTGTGTATTAGCAGTAACTATAGCACATATGCTACAGCATATGTACCCAATGGTACGTTACGGCGCAGTAAAGCATGACAAGAATTTGCTTCTTCCTTCCATGGACAAGCCCATTGTAGAACATCTATCATGCCAGTTTCGGTCATACTTGAAGAACAGCGCTTGGCGCCATAAAAAACGCTGTAACTAGATGTGAGGGGATTCCAGTTCTTCTGCAACAGCCATTCATACATGCTACGATAGCACTGCAAGCAGAGCTTGATAACAAGGTCTACAAGGCGACCGTTCGGGTTATCATAACTTCGCAGTACAGAATCGCTGTCAAATGATATAAAAACACAGTAAGACAAGAAACGAGTGTAAGATTCTTTGTGCACTTTAAATTCATAAATGCCGCGGAATAGGCACAAATGCATTTGTTGTTGCACAGTACCCGTGGTACAGTAGCACACTACTGTACTCTTACTTAATGTAGCAGAGGGGCAAATGCCTGCTTGCAGATCTCCCTTGCATGTCTCTCCCTTCCGCATGACAGCGGGTATTGTTTCCACAGCTTACCGCGTTTTCAAACCCTCCTTGAGTGGTAGGCCTTAAGAAACGGGCGCAATGCCCTCTTGAACGTAGGTCCGCGAAATGCACTATGCAGGACATATCCCCCAAAACAAACAAGTGATACAGTGCCGCAATACATCTTTGCCCAAGCTCGTTTGCCACAGAAGCTGGTCAGGATAAGTGCAGTAAAGTTATGTAGGTAACATCTCTCCTATCGCCTATCTGCGGTTATTCTGCGACCATAGCAGACAACTGAAGATCGTGGGACCTTCAATTGTTTCGATAGGGGCAACTCTATCAAGACGGGAATACAAGAGGTGCCTACCCATCTGGCAGAATGAAGGCCACAACTCGCCGATGCCGCGTACAAAGTACCCTTGTACTGTGGAACAAAGGCCCTTCGATTCTGGAAGACTGCCAGGTAGGCCTGATAATGCCCGTCACACCGACCACACCTCAGATTAGCATTGGAAGCACATGGGAGGACAGCAGCCTGGGGTATTTGTACTTTCTGTTCTGCTGACAGATGCTGGCAAATTTCATACGAGCGTCAGCACGAAAATTCAGCCATGGCCTCTTCATCCATTGAGGGAGGAGGATTCTTTAATATAGAACCCTTCCTGAATTTTTGTAAGATATGCCGCTTATATCACACCGTACTGTGCACGATATCTAAATTTGCGGGCGTCATAACAACTATTGTCTTTGACGCAGCATCTTATCCTGCATAACTCGCTGTAGCCCTGGTCTGTGAGATGGTTGGACGCCCAGAGTCCATTGCATCCCAGTATCGTGCCCGTTGGGAGGCATCTTTTGACACATCAATGACGCTCACTACATTTGATTCCATACACCTATGCAAAATCGTGGTTGGTATTTACAAAGGCGGGGCCAAGCCGCCACACGACAATCGCAGATTAAGGATATATAAGATAAGGTTAAGCACCGCTCACCGGCTCATCGTCGAAAAACACCGAAACAGCAGGTTCGACTTTTCAGTTCAACGGCGAGCAGTTGCGGCTTCCCGTTTTTCATCGACATGAAATCCTTCATTCTAGTCGCGTGCGCTACATTCCTTCTTGTCGTCCCCACCATTTACGCCCAGGCACCAAGGCCAAACGGTGACGACGCGGACGAACTGAATCCTATCGAGCCGAATTCCCCAGAATTCAAAGATCGTGAGAGACGAAACTGCAGAATCGAATTCCGACGAGTGGATGGAGCATGTACGAACATTGGCTCTCCGAAACGCCAGCTGTGGGGCTCCACCAACCGCCCCCATTTCACATATTTCAATGGCCTGAGCTCCGTGGTTGCTACTGGAAAAAATTTGCCATCGCCAAGACGCATTTCTAATATTCTCTGCAAACAGACCCGAAACATCTTTGACAGACGTTCTCTGAATGAGATGACAACCATTTTCGGACAATTTATTGATCACACTCTCGTTGCTACTCCGGTAAACGATGATGAACCCATGTTCATTAAGATGCCGGAAAATGACCCTCTTTTTGCCAACATGACAGAGCTCAAGTTCTTCCGTTCGGAGCGCGTGAAAGTTGTTCGAGGGAGTCGTGTGGAGCGACCCCAAAACTCTCTGACTTCAGCCCTCGACCTGGTATCCGTTTACGGGCCCAATGAAGGGAGGTTGAAAGTGCTGAGGTCTTTCCGCAATGGACTCATGGAGACAGGTCCCGGCAACTTGCTCATCCTCAACAACGCTCGCCTCAACAATGCACCCCAGAACAGAAAGTCCTTTTTCATAACTGGAGACCACAGAGCCAATGAACATCCCGTGCTTACTTCCGTACACACCCTCTTCCTCCGCGAACATAATTCTATTGCCAAGGAGTTGCAGGCCGCTTTCCCCAGGTGGAAGGAGGAGCGGTTATTCCAGACCGCGCGGAAGATTAACATAGCACAATTCCAAAAGATCGTGATCAAGGAATGGTACCCAGCCATCACTGGGCGACAACTTCCGGCGTATAACGGCTTCGTCAGGGACACTGATCCGACGGTTAGCCTCGTATTCAGCACGGCTGCGTTCAGAGTGGGCCACACGTTAGTCGGGAACGTAGTGAACCGACGTGGTCGAGGCAACACAGTTTTGCCTTCGTTGCCGTTCATGAACGTATTCTTCCAATCGGTGCGCCTCATTCAGAACAACGGCATCGATGAATTTGTTCGGGGGGCGCTCGTGAGCCGTGCGCAAAGGATCGATCTGCAGGTTCACGACATCTTAAGAAATTTCCTTTTCACCAATGTGAATGGGGAGGAGGGGCTTGACTTGATCGCGCTGAACCTTCAGCGAAGCCGAGACCATGCGCTACCATCCTACAACCGGATCCGGCGGAAGTTTTTGGGGAGCAGGGCGAGAAATTTCCTTCAGATTACGAAGAACAGGAACATTGCAACGGCATTGCAGACGGCGTACGGAAGCGTGGACAAGGTTGAGGCATGGATTGGGATGATGGCAGAGGATCATGCGCCGCGTTCTTCTATGGGTCCGACACTGCTCGCAGTGTGGCAGAGAGAGTTTGTGCGGATTCGAGATGGTGACCAATTCTACTTTGAAAGGGAGGGGGCGTTCACAAAAGAAATGAAGATGAAGATCCCCAGAGTGAGGCAGCTGTTCACGAATGCAGACATCTTCCGCGGAATCGTTCTACGGAATAGTGGTATTCAACGGAGGGACTTGAAGAGGCGGATGTTCTTCGTTAACTAGATTAGTATTTGGCCTTGACGCGGCGCGCTTGCCTCATCCACACCGCATAACTTTTGATAAATCGAAAACTATATTCTGTACCAGTACATGCGGACGTTTGTTCGGGAAAAAGCGAATGGGCGTGAACAGGGCGGTGCCGCTGCTTGCGACAGCGGCGAGTGCAATGGGCGTAGATATCGCGGCGTGCCACGGTGCAGTAGGTGCTCTTCAGACAGAGCAAGATCTCCGATTGACGCGGGATTCAGATGAAAGAAAAGTTTCACTGCAACGGACGAAAATGCAAGCTGGTTCAGGCAGCTTGGGAAGGTCGCCAGGATGAGTGAGTCAACTATGGTCCGGACAGGAGAGGCGAATCTGGTGGGTGGGTTAGATGAGGGCACCCTGCGCGCAGCCCACGATACATGCAAACAAAACAGATGCAGCTCATCTCTACTGAAAATTGAACCGATAATTCTACGCTTTTGACCGAAATCGATCGAAAGTTGGCCGGACTAGTTTTTGTTTTTACCTCCCCACGACCCATATTCGAGAACCAGTGGTGCTAGGGACACTTGGCAAATGCACCTCTCCCGCCAAAATGAAACTCAGGGTCTCCTTTAAGACAGCATGGACAGCCATGTATGGATGTAAATATTCGCGATTTTCAAAATATTACATGTCCAATAATTTAATGTATTGTGTCAGCGCGCCGTGATCCGTAAATTGGCTCAAGGGGTGCATCATACCGTACCGTAACAGTTCATGATAAAATGTGGCAAGTGACCGCTTTTTTCTAGGCATGTCTGGTGAAAATGCCGTATCTTACCAAGTCCTTCGCCGATTTTGACTTTTTAAAGCTCAATGAACACATAAAGCGCGCATATAGCTTTACAACGGTAACGAAATCACATCATGTGTTCATTCAAGGGAATGAAGTCACTTAAATGAACCCCTTTTACAGGTCTGAATCGCATGGAAACTAATTTGGCAACCTCAAATAATGGCCGCGGCCGGAAAAAAAACTCTTTATTGTAACAGTCCGTTAACTATTTTGGCAAACAGAAACTATTTTAGCAACGCACTGCTTCCCTTTTTTGCCGCACTTTCTGGAATGGCGATGATGGGCGGCTATCGATCGATATAGAAAAGCATATTACGTTGTAATGGCATGGCACAGCCTGGATTTTTGGCAGACCAGCGAAAGTAATGGGCTTTCGAACGGCGGTAAAAACAGAAAAGGCGCGCAGGTTGTAATCAGTCACAGAGCTACCAAGGTTAGCAAGTGGCGGAGGCGGATCTAGGTTACTCGGTGTTGTAAAAGTGCGGCAAAAAGGGGAAGCAGGCGTTGCCAAAATAGTTTATGTTTGCCAAAATAGTTAACGGACTGTTGTCGTCTCACACGATCCCTCATTCATCCATCCCTCACACATTCACCATAGCACATCATGACGACACGATCCCCAGGCTCTTCGTCATCAGGAACATCTTCGGAATCCGATTCGTTTGTCGTCGTGGCTGGGGCTGCGTACCACTGGATGAGGACCAAGTTCACAGGAAAGCGCCGACGCAAATCATATGTTCAGCGTCTCCTTCCATCTCGACATACAGTGTCCTTTGACGACATTACGAGAGCACTAGGCCCCGATCTGGTTCGAAAGTCATACCGCATGTCAGAAGCAGCATTTGCTCTGTTGCTAAACGAGGTGCAAGATCTCATAGACAAAACGTTCAAGGTGGCCACAGAATATCGAAGGAGTACAGTTCCTTCCGCAGTTATGCTGGGAATTACCTTAAGAATACTAACCGGAGCAAGCTACCTGGACCTTGTCCTTACCTATCAAGTGGCAGAAAGTACTTTGCATGAAGTATTCAATTACACGTGTGAGGCACTGATGACGCGGCTTCGTTTGAAAGGGTTTCCTACTAGTAGCGCAGGTTTGCGATCCATTGCAAAGCGCTTTCAAACTTCAAGGAAATCTGTGAATCCGCATTCGGGTTGCGTTGGTGCGGTAGACGGAATCTGTGTTAAAATTAAGAAGCCTGAACCTCAAGAAAACCCTGCTGCTATGTTCTATTGTCGGAAAGGTTTTTATGCGATCCCGGTTCAAGCTCTTGTTGACTCTGACTATATTTTTCGTTTTTGTTCTGCACTTTGTGCAGGTTCAACGCACGATTCTCTCGCTTTTTCTGTCTCAGGACTGAAACGGGAAATAGACAAGGGCATCCTCGGCACTTGTTACTACATTGTAGGAAACGAGGCGTACTCCTGCACAGAGCACATAATCACGCCATTTTCGAAATCGGGTGCTGACACTGACCAAGACAACTTTAATTTTTTCTATCCTCCTTTCGCATGCACGTAGAGCAGGCATTTGGCATGCTAGTTCCCCGTTAGAGGATATTACGTGGTGGGTTGGAGTTTTCTGTAAACAAAAGCACTAACCTTATTTGTTTGCTAATGAAGCTGCACAACTTTGTGCTCGAAAACGACAGAGAGCGCTCTGTGTTGACCCATCAGCTAACAGACTACGAGAAACAAGTTTTAGAAGCTGACATCAATCAGTGGTGCCAGGAATCAAGACAATTGGCTCGTGAGTTTCAGGGCAGACACGAGAAAGATTGCTGCAGTCACGACGGAACACTTCTGTCTGCCTGTCAGGAATGGTACTAGTTCCAGAAAGCGAGACAGGTTGGTTCAAATTGTTAAGGAGAAAGGCAGAGAACGGCTTGAAGTACCGCTGCACCATTACAGCGTAGATCATGAACGCATGTGAACAATTTATCAAGTGCAACCGTCTGGCCAATCAGACGAGTAGTGACGGAAGGGATGTGGATTTGATTTCGCGACAAGTGGCAAACCCAGTCTCTATTTGATCTACTACAGTTGGTCTCACCAGCCTTGCCGGCAGTCAGCTTTGCGTACAGCCGAAAATGCCGTCATGCGACGTACCCGACGTGAATGTGTGTGTTGATCGCATGTCGATCGCTGTGTTTTTGGCAAGGCTACGCGTCCTTCCTTTAGGTGGTGAAGCGATGCATGAACGGAAGCGACTGTATAGCGAGCGCGCAGAGCAGGCGGACGTAAACGTGAGGACGATAGGAGGCTGGGAAGGGCACCGGGTAGAGAGATTTGGAGGACATAGGCAGGTGGTTGTGAAGTGGTGAGGCGGGAGGGAGGAAGCGTTCTGGATGGCGCTTTATCCGCATGATGGGGATGAGAATGGGTTTGGAATGCACGGAGGGGACGATGGAAAGGTGAGGTTTCGATACGAGGGGCGGGAGCGGTATTTCGAGATGGGTGAAGATCACTCGGCTGTGGAGACGGATGCGGTAGGAAGAAAGAAGGGGTTTGCGACGAGGGTAAAGCGGTGGCGTATGTGGATGTTTTCGGTTTGGTTGTTGGTGTTTCATGGCTCGGGCGCTGTTGACAGCGCTGACATCAGTCAGAAAGTCGGACGCCGCTAGCACTGTGTGCCAGGATCGCACCAACGTAGTACAGGTCCTGTCAAATTAACGTGTCGACAGCAGAGGCGTCATTAATGATGGAATCGATGCAGACCCTCTTTTGTGTGATGATTCCGCTCTGCGGCCTAGCGTTACATCTTCACTGCCGAGTCCGAGTGAGAGCGCCGTACCAAGCGTGAGTGTTCCTGCATCTATCAGCGCAAATCAGGTACCGGTTGGTATTACCGCCATCAGCTCAGGTACCAGCTGGCCGTCAGCAAGTGCAGTGGCAAGTGCAAGTGTTTTGTTGCCGATTACTTTAGAGACGCCGTCGGTCTCTCCGGGGTTTGGTTCTTCTGTCAGTCCTCAAGCTTCGAGCGGTATGCTGCTTGTCTGACCGCACAGGACAGGCTGTCCTTAGAGAGGAGTATATACACCTAGAGACGACGACGAGTAAAGAAAGAGGGCTATCATACCCCGTGTTCACACAGGTTATAGGCACTATTACGCAACCACGCGCCGATGCTCCCAACTCTAACAAGCCACCACAACGACACGATACGATCCCTCCCAGCACGTAGGACAACGCGCAGAAACAACCCGCCCGCCGCAGCACCAATCGATCAACTCACGTACAGACCTCCCATACGCACAAGCACATCCCCAAACATGGAACGACGAACCGACGTCCGAACCCTCAATCCGGACAACTACGGCCCGTGGTTCGTTGCGCTACGCTCCGCCGCGTACGCTACCGGAATGATCCACCAACTAGAAGGTAACCCCGAACCCCCGACACAAGATGACGGGTACCACACATTTCAGCGCGCCAAGCACGTGCTGCTCGGCAAGATCATAACGAGCATCCCGAGCGACATTGCCAACCTGGTACTCACGCCGACGAGTGAACCAACGCTGTACGATCTGGTAAAGGCGATCACGGCACACCTCGACACTGCCAACGCTGACGACCAAAAATACCTCAAACAACAGGCGGAACAGGCACACTTCACACACGGAATGACGCTCCAGGAATACGTCACGATCGACAAGGGAATCAGGGCCAAGATGATAGCAGCACGCTATCCGGAAATACAGGACGCGAGGACAACGGTCACATTCATGATCGACGGGCTGAGATACAACCCCACAACGGCACCCATAGGCATGCAACTCATAGCCCTCAACCCAGCCACAGTGAAGGAGTTCGCACATCGGTACAACCGAATTGCACAGTACCAGAACGTCCTTACTCAGACAACCCAGGCACCACCCCCCAACAGACCGGCACCAATCAGCCGCAGATGGGCCACACGCCAAACCCGCAGGCAACCCCTGCCACATCAAATCGACAACCCCTGTCAATACCACCAACTGTGCGGCATCATTCAACGGCAACACACGGATGCAGAATGCCGCAACCCCCACCACTCGAAAAACAAAAGGGCACGAGGACACCCAAAAGCACGAGTGGCATACAACCCCGAAGACTTATACGAGGACGAACAGCACGACCAATACGTCTACGACCCAAGGAACAACAACAGGACGGAAGACGAACCATGTACGTACATCCT